TTTTATGCAGTTTAACTTGGAGGTTAATTTGCTCGTACTTCACTGCAGCTGCTGGTGTTTTCTGGTGCGTTTGAAATAAAATGTGTACATCCAGCACCTGTGGTGCAGAGGCAGCCTTTAAATGAAGCATGAGCCACATACATGTGACTCCGCCCACACACACGCAGACGTGTACCCGCTGACCTCCCTTTGCACACACTCTTTAGCTCACGACTAACGGCTTAGCTGACGTTTAAATACACACCATAGATCTACAGCCATCAGAGGATGGTATGTTCTCTACAGTCAGTTTCCTGAACTTTTGATCTAATCTCAGCCTAATCTTACTTGATCCCAACCTAACAACACATCTACGCAAAAAAGGAAGAAATGAGGGTGGTTCAGGCCTTTTGCACAGCACTTGTATCCAGATGAAGGCATGTCAGGGTGGTCTGCATAACTGTGAGAAACAGACAGGAGGAGCCTGGTTTACATGTTGGAGAGGAGCAGGTATTTAAAGCTAAATCAGAGGGAAACGTTACAGGTGGCGTTTCATTTGTTACCTTATTGTCATTGTGAAAGCAAAAAGACAGCCAGTGCTAACCTCACGGTGTGTGTAACTGCGACACAGATACAGAGACTCTAAGGTGATCCTACAAATGATAACATATACATCAAATAAATCAAATTAATGAAAAAATATATCTGAAGACATAAAAACACACTCTGTAGTTACCTGTAAACACGTTGCCTGTCATGAATAAATGAAACTTTAGTGTTACATCACGAGCGAGCCGACTGAGATTGCCTAATATGATGAATCTGATTATTTATTAGCTGACATCATGTGAAGCAACGATGTGAATGTTCAGGTTAACGCAGGCTCCGTCAACGATGCTTAAAAAGGTTTAAAAACGGTTTAATGCAAACGACCACAGGCATCAACAGCGTTGGACGAAACCATCGCTATACACAGAAGAAGTCGAACCACGCTGCACCATTGTAGTCAGTACCATTTTATACCACAAGGTGGCGCAGTGCTGTAATCTTTATATCAGTGCTAATGAGGAAAGTGTTCTTTACAGCTCTGTGGGACATGTGGGCTTATATAAAAGTGAAAAAGCGAAACCTGCGGCACACGAAACATGTCACCACGCTGGTGAAACTCTGCCCCCTGCTGGTGGAAGTTTTAGTCGAGCACTGCAGAGGGAAACTACAAAAAGCTCTTTAAATGTGAGAGCTCAGACTGTGTGTGTGTGTG